GTGCCGGCTGGCCCCACTCACACCGCTGATGCGCCCCACCACGCGAAACTCTCTGAGGCTCAACATCCGCCACACACGCCCCTGACACCCCTGTCCCCACGAAGACACCCCCAACCCCCCAGCGGTGCTAAGCCAATCCCCTGTAACAACCAAACCCCCCAGTGATGCTCAACGCGGACAAGGAGTTCCTGGCCCAGAAGGTCGCGCCACACAGGTGCGGCCCCCAGCGAGCCCGCACCGGCAGCAGCCCAGCGGGCCCAGCACCAGCGGCTGGCCCCCGCTCACCCTGCGGGCCACGGGGCTTGCGATCTGTCCGCCCGTCCGTCGCCTATGCCCAGCTCTTCATACCGTTTGGACCTGTGAATGCGCGTTGCATCCTATGTTGTTCTGTTTGCAGCCAAGCTCCAGGGGCACAGGGCAAGCTCACACCCACCTCCCGGCTCTGAGGGCATTTCCCAGGCCTCAACCCCATCAGTCGCATCATCACCACTCTCATTTGTTGTTTGCACCCACCCCACCCTCAACCCCCGGCCAGGGACTTCTACAACGTGCGCAAGGTGGACACCCACATCCACCACAGCGCCTGCATGCACCAGAAGCACCTGCTGCGGTTCATCAAGAGCAAGCTCAGGAAGGAGCCGGATGAGGTGGTCATATTCAGGTGATCCGGGGTGATCTTCTGATGATCTGGGCGGGATGGCGTTGGAGGTCGAGGGTTGGGGTCAGGCTGGGGGTTGGGCTGCAGGTAAGGGTGGGGTGCGAACAGTACCTGCGCAGAGGGTTATTGGGGCCCAGGGGATGTCACGGGGCCGGCGCAAGAACAGCGCACGTGAGCGCCCTTGAACGCATGCCTGGCTTCCCAGCGCATTAGTATCTGTGCTAATGCAAAGCCAGCCCTGCTTCAAGCCTACCCTAGCGCCCAAACCCCACCCTCGCCCCCACGCCCGACCAAACCCCCGACCCCACCTCCCCCCAAGGGACGGCAAGTACCTGACGCTGCGGGAGGTGTTTGAGAGCCTCAACCTTACGGGCTACGACCTCAACGTGGACACACTGGACATGCACGTAGACAAGAACACATTCCACAGGTGCCCGCGCGCCCCCCTCTCCGCTGGGGTGGCGGCCACGCCGGGCCTGCGGGTCGCACCCGCGATGGGCTCGGCGTTGGCTGCGCGCGTGCGACCTGGGGCTGCGTCGGCCGGATGCGCGCGCCTCCTGCGGTCCAGGCGCCACACCTGGGACCTGGGCGCCGCATGGCTGGCTGCCCACGCACTGCACCATTCACCGAGATGCTGCTGCCCCCCCCCCCCATCTTCCTCCCCACCCATCCTCAAACTCACGATTGTAGGTTTGACAAGTTCAACCTGAAGTACAACCCCTGCGGCCAGAGCAGGCTGAGGGAGATCTTCATCAAGCAGGTCTGACGGGGGTGCAGCCGCGGAAGCTCAGGGGCGGCTGGGGATCACGGGAGGCACAAGTCAAACCCCGCTCCTCGCCCAAGGCGACCCCTGCTCTCTGTCCCGCGCTGCTCTGTGCGCTTCGAGCCAGTGCAACCCCTCATCGAGTCTTGGGTGCAGTCGCATTTTGGCTTCGCTTCCCTCGCTCCTGCACCCCCCCACCAGCAACTCTTGCCATCCCCCGCCCTGACTGCCAACCCCCCTCTCCTGAAGCAAACCTTGCACACCCATACCACTGACAACATCATCCACATTTTGTGCCTGGCCCTCCCGTCACCGCCCCCCCCTACAAAGGACAACCTGATCCACGGCCGCTTCCTGGCTGAGCTGACCCAGGAGGTCTTCACTGACTACGAGGCCTCAAAGTGAGGGGGCGTGAGGGGAGGGGTGGGCGCTGCGTGGCCGGGGCCACGTGAGCTGCAGGGGCGATGGGCACCCTCTTTTCAGAGGGATGGACTGTGTGTGTTTGTGTGTGCGTGAATGTGTCTCATGCACTCATGGTAGGCCGTCAGCACTTCTTGGCACCACTCACACCCTCTCACGGTTTCCCCTCTAGCCATCTCAACCCTCCCTTCCCTCTTCACACACACACAAACGCACACACACACACACACACACACACACCATCCCTCCCTCCACACGCGCGTGCCCCACGCCGCCAGGTACCAGCACGCGGAGATGCGCATCAGCGTGTACGGCCGCAAGCCCGTGGAATGGGACATCCTGGCGGCATGGGTGGTGGGCAACAACCTGTGGAGCGACAACGTGGTGTGGCTGATCCAGATTCCGCGGCTCTACAACGTCTACAGAGACCAGGTGGGTTGGTTTGTGTTTGGTTTTTGGGCGTTGGTGGAGGTTGCGAGGCGGCGTGATGCAAGCGTACGGTCGAGAGCGTGGGCGGGCGCGAGTACATGCACCCGTGTGCATGCTGGGTATTGTGCACGCACAAGTCGCCAGGGCCCGCCACGCGGCTGGACAACCAGCGAGCTCGCGCCGATTGACCAGGCTGTTGGGGTGCTGGTTCGGGGCGACCCCGGGCGTGGACAGGCTGTGGGGGCTGATTTGGCTGTGAGGCCCGGGAGTGCAAGCGGAGGGCAACGCCTGCGAACCCAGTGGCTGCACGTGCGGGCAGTGGCGCACCTTGGTGACAAACAATTTGAAAGCCGACCGCACAGTCCTGATCCCAGCACCGCCCCCACCCCGGGCCTTGTTTCAACCGACCGCCGCAGGGCATCATCGACAACTTTGAGCAGATGCTGGAGAACATCTTTGTGCCGCTGTTCGAGGCCACGGTGGACCCGGCCTCGCACCCCCAGCTGCACGCCTTCCTCAGCCAGGTCAGCACAGGGGCTGCCGCCAAAAGAGTGTCAACTGCACCCTGCTGTCCCGCCACCTCCTGCCCGCCGCCTGGCACGCGCGACGAAAGCAAGCGTAACACGTGCGCGGCCGCCCGCCACGACCTGGCCCTTGGGAGAGGCCCCGACAACACACCCTGAACACTCCCAATGCGGTCCGTCAGGCCACTGGCACGCCGCTGTTTCTTTTGACACCTTCGATTCCCACCGAAACCGCACACAACCACAAAACAAACCTGAACTGAACATGAAGCACGCACGCACGCACGCACGCGCGCACGCACCCCCAGGTGGTCGGCTTCGACATGGTGGACGACGAGTCACGCCCAGAGCGGCGCCCCACCAAGCACTCCCCCGCGCCCCCCGAGTGGACGAGCAAGCACAATGCGGCGTACAGCTACTACGCA